ACTTTTTTTGAATTCTGAAACTTACAGGATGGTTTTAGTTAAATAAAAGTTTTCATTGAAACCAAGCTACCAGAATGACTCGTTTTGGAATTTGTCACATTATGATGTCATAGCGCGACAAAAGACCACCTCAGATCAATGCCTACTTCTACATTATTGCCTTTTTAGCCTCTCCCACTTACTCGCTTAAGGACTACTCCATCAACAAAACCATAGAGATCTTCAGTGGATTACAAGATGCTGTGTAGTATAATTTGTGAAAAAACAGTCTTTGAAATGCATTCCTTGTGATCCTAACACCATATCTACATTGGATGCAAGTGTTGCTGCATTGTGTCATGAATCGATTTCTCTTTCATGTCAGAAGCAGTGTGAAAATTTGGAGCATGTCAGAAATAGAACGGGACATCAGTTTACTGTCAGGGATTTGTCATGTCAATCCATGCCATATCCAGTGTAGACAGAATCACTGATTATAATGGGTTCCGTTGTCTTTAGTTGCATTGCGCCACTTGCGTCCTGTGTAGACACGGGGTAAAATTAGGCAAGAGCTCCAGATCACGTCAGTGAAGCACTGTTTGCTTGTTTGATGTACTGCGGATTCTTTTTTAAACAAGACAGTTTGATGCAGTGCTAAGCCTGACTAAATTGGATCCAACAGTACTGTCACTACACATAAGTGTAAGTAAACGTGTTTTTACCACTATTGCATTGTCTGTTTCAGATCGTTTGATATATACTGAGTATGTATACATTTTTAATCCAACTGACCCATGTTGTATTCAGAGTATGTCAAAAGCAGCGTCCATCTATTATTTTAATATGCAAAACTGTTGCATACTGGGTGTTACATCTCAGTCTTGAATGCGCCCAACCTATAAAAACAGACTGTTCTGCAGAGAGGGTCAAAAATAAGATAAAATAGGCTATTACTTCTAAATTATGATGTTTTTGATGTAAAAATCTTTCTAACATTTTAAAGGTCCCATACTGTACACCTTTCTGGAGTTTTATTTGAGGTTTGATGTCCTTAAGAATATAAATCTGCGGTATAAGTACCAAAAACCATCTCAATATATTTTTACTGCTCTTCTGAGAACAGGTCGATTTTGGTCTGTCTAATTAATATTCATGAGCCTCTCTTCTGATTGGCCTGTTGTTTTCTGAGTGACGCACGGCCAGGCCAACCACAGGTAACTAGGGTCAGCGACGTCACAGCACTAGCTGGAGGCAGCAAAACAAAAGGGGAAACGGGAGGCGGCCCATTCAAACCAGCGTAGATTCGGCTACATAAGGACCTTAAAATATCATCTTGTTGTGATGTTGGGTGCCAGAATCGACGTAATACAGCCTCAAATTAGAAATTTGATCGCATATCTGCTACCACTGCCAGACAAAAAACCGACGACAGCTGTGGTTAAACGCGATAAAATGAGCAGACTGGACAGAAACGATCGTCAAAAATGCTTGCAGTGCACACTTCTTATCAGAAAAAGTTCAATAAAGTATTGTCTTTTGTTGTTATGGGCGCGTCTACAGTTTTCTTGCCATATATCTGTTTCTTGCATCTCACGACTATGTCGTGTATGAAATAATGTCTGTGTGCATGTGTATAAAACAACAAACTGACGATTTATATATAATCATTTGAAATTCTATATACATTGTTGTTATTAATTGTGGCTGGAACAATAATGTAGCTGTAAAAATAGTTGACTGTGTAGTTCTGACGTCAACTTTTTACGGAAGTCACAACGGTTCGTGAAAAATAGCTAGAACTTTAAGCAGGCTGTGTGAATGTTATAGTGGACTGACTGTTTTGAAACTTATATGGTAGTCAAATAGCCCCTAGACCTCAGTAATCGTGATAAAAGCCAGGAAATTTCAGTTTTGACAATATGGGACCTTTAAGTGTACCTCAGAAAACATAATATATTTTTTTTAAATGCAGTTCATGACCCCTTTAAAGGGGTCTTAACATTAATTATTATTATTATGTTTCCTTGAGGTTCACTTACAAGTTATATGTTCACAAAAATAATCATTTTTAACTTTATTATGATCCTCTGTCTAAAATAATATGTTTTATGTATATAATATTGTTTTATATAATATAAAACAATACGATAGAAAAGTAATATGAGTGTTTACAATGTAAAATGATGCATCTTGATGATATTAGATTTTTCACACCCTGGTTATTGTGGCCAAAATAATTCACAATATCGATATATCGCAATATCTATAGAAACCTTGAGGAACCAGCCAAATTAATTTTTACTTTTACCTCAGAAAACATAATATATTTTTTTTAAATGCAGTTCATGACCCCTTTAAAGGGGTCTTAACATTAATTATTATTATTATGTTTCCTTGAGGTTCACTTACAAGTTATATGTTCACAAAAATAATCATTTTTAACTTTATTATGATCCTCTGTCTAAAATAATATGTTTTATGTATATAATATTGTTTTATATAATATAAAACAATACGATAGAAAAGTAATATGAGTGTTTACAATGTAAAATGATGCATCTTGATGATATTAGATTTTTCACACCCTGGTTATTGTGGCCAAAATAATTCACAATATCGATATATCGCAATATCTATAGAAACCTTGAGGAACCAGCCAAATTAATTTTTACTTTATTTAGTTTTTCTTTTTACCCAATGAACATAAGGATACTGATAAACAGAGCACATGCATTTTTACTACTTCAGGTCACAGCTGACCTGAGACTCTGGCTTTCTCTGTCTCCTTTGAAGCTCCCTATGAAATAACAAGAGAGAAAATAGTGTCATGTTCAACAGTATGACGAATAAATATTAACACCAAAACTGATACTTTAACCTGTTAACTTATGTACCTGTATTTTAATCTCTTTAACCTATAGTTAGTTATGCAGTTAACGCGATTCTAATTCTGTTTTACAGAGTTTAATGTAGCAATGTGGTCGCTCAGTTTTTCTAAATGTTTTAATCGTGTAATAGATTTGAACAAAGAAATCAAGTGCTACGCACATGTATTGGCCATTACTTGATTGCGAATACAAATACAAAAATTAGACAAGTAAAGAAAACGCGGTACTTATTAAAAGAATCACCCCTTTATTTAAATATATGAACACAGGAAACTGCTGTTAACAGGTTAATGCAACATTTCCCATTCCATGACTAGTAAAATAATGGCAACTTACTGTTTGAACATGGTTCTTCTCGGAGTAGCGTGGTTGCGCGCTGCGTCTTCTTGTTTAACAGGTGTAAGCGTTAAGGTGCAATACTGCCACCTGGGAGGTCAACCAGGTACTGGCGCTGGAGTAGGCTATTTGCGTTTCGTGTTATCATAAGTGTCTTGTTCATTTTAAATATTGTGGTTATCGCCAATGCCGGTATATCATCACACCCTAAATTAACACAATGTTGATATTTCATTATTTGAATATCACGGTTAACGTCAATATCACGACACCCCTAATGTTTCCTGGGAAATACTCTATTAGCGAATATCTGCCCAAATGTAGATATTCATAACATGCTTAACAATAATAATTTAGTTTCTCAGATATAAAATGATATTTTTGTACTGTGTTTTAGTACATACAAAGCATGTGTGCGTCTATGAATAAAAAAAAATCATGTTTTTTGTTTTGTTTTGCTTTTTTAATGAGCAGGCAATATTAATGATTGTTAAAAAATCTAATGATATAGTTGCTCCTGATATCAACATGCTCACATATTATTTTTTAAGTGACCAGATACCTGCACCCCAGTTGAGTCCTGCTGACTCAAATTTTCACGAGTCTCTTCAAACAGTTTTTGTTTTTCTATAAGAGCACTGTACCAACATCAGAAGCTGTTAAATTTGACTGATATGCTACACGAATATGGTAAAATAAGCTCCATCACTGACTTCTGATGGTGGGACTGTTTTTTTTCTTCTTCAGTTTATGGAAAGAAGCAGCAAACACCTTGGAAATACCAGGTATGGTTTACCTGTTTAAACAGTCTTGAAAACAAATGTTCTATGTGTGTTTTATGGCCTTATTTCAGTGACTTAAAACATTTTTTATTTTAATATTTTATTATTATTTATATATTTTTCACTAACTATGCATAAATGTTGACCCCCAGAGGGTTAACAACATTTTGAGTTTTGAAAAGGAATGAGTGAACCAAAGAGACAGATAACTTGCAAAAGTGCGGGAGATCATTGAAAATTCAATTAAAATAGCCCGTCTCAGAAACTTTTCTTTTTTTTTGGCTTAACAAAATTGCACTCATAAAAATAAATTTATCTGAACTAGGTTTTCTGAGTAACAAAATGCATAGTACAGGTGTGGCCAACTTCGGTCCTGGAGAGCCACAGTTCTGAAGAGTTCTGCTCCAACCCCAATCTACCAGAAATCTACAGGCAGGTGAGTTTTTATCAGGGTTGGAGCAAAACTCTGCAGGACTCTGGTTCTCCAGGACCGAAGTTGGCCACCCCTGACATAGTACACAAATAGTACAGAGTACTAGAATTTAACAATTAGGTTTAATAAATTGTTGGACATTAAGTGAAGTCAATAAAAAAATGTTAGTTAACGTCATGCTGTAGTGGAATCACACTGGTTATTCCAGACTTTGCATAACATGAATTTGCTTACACTTACAGCAATTTTTAAGCAGTTCCATATTGAGACTATAGTGCTTACAGTGCAAGGGTTTTGTTTTACTGCAGTTGGTTAATTAGTTTTGCAACATCACCTAGTTTAGTCTGATTAAGTATTGTAGTTTTGGTAATAAACTGCACTTAGGTTCTTTATACAGTATCTTGCCCTGCAAGCTGTTGGTTATGAAATTAGACAGAATAGTTGCGTTTGTTTATCAGATGATTGGACACAATTATCAGACACTGATCATCTCAAAATCTTATCTGAGCTACAATCTCATTACTACAAAACACCTATTCATACACATATTTTATAAAAAATGAGTGCATTTGAAAATCAGACCTCAGTATGTTCAGTTGACAGTCTGACAGTCCAGCAGAGAGGAGCTTCACTCCAGAATCCTGAAGGTCATTGTTACTGAGGTCCAGCTCTCTCAGACAGGATTTTGATGATTGTAGAGCTGAAGACAAGCTTTCACAACACTGACCAGTGAATCTACAACCTGCCAATCTGAACAAAACAAAAGATTCAGTAACCTGCACTGAGCATTGTAGATGTCTTACTAATTAAACACACACTGATTCAACTCATCTGCTCATTATTAGAGACTCTTAAGACAGGGTTCCTCAAATCTAGTCCTGGAGGGCCACTGCCCAGTAGAGTCAAACCCTGATCAAACTCACTTACCTGTGATTTCCAAGGGGTCCTGGAGACCTTGATGAGCTTGCTCATGTGTGTTTGATTAGGGTTGAAGCTAAACTCTGCAGGGCATTGGCCCTCTGGGGCAAGATTTGAGGAATCCTGCTCTAAGACCACACATGGGTGTGTCAGATAGTGATGTGTCATTCGCAAACGTGCCAGCTCTAAGAGCCGATTATTTGTAGCGAACGAGAAGAGCCGACTCCCGTCAGGGAGAGCCGAATCCTCAGTCGGAGCCTTCTATTTTAGGCCAATTTAGCAATTGTGAATGGTTTGTGTGTTGGTAAGCAATTTTTTATTTAGTGTTTTCATAAAAGCCTTATTTTTATGCTTTTTTTTCCGTTACAAAAAAACACACAAAAAAAACACATGCGGCTAATCACATGGGAGGACAGACTAGGATCATACCATTATGTGAAAGAAGGAAGGGGGAAATTTTTTTGTAACGAAAAAAAAATGCATTAAAAATTAGGCCTTTATGAAAACACCAACCATTCACAATTGCTAAATTGGGCTAAAATAGAAGGCTCAGAATGACACTAAATAAAGAGCCATTTGGGAGCCGTAAGAGCCGGCTCTTCTAAGGGAGCTGAGCCAAAAGAGCCGAATCTTTGAAAAGAGCCGAACTTCCCATCACTAGTGTCAGATAAGAAAAACATCAAAAATATGCAGTGTTGTGGGGGCTCCAGAACCAGGGTTGGGAACCACTGCTGTAGATGACAACAACATTAAAATTGTGATCAATGCAGTGGATGCAAATACCACCAGCACTGATACAGATTATTGCACTGAAGGTTAGTCTTGCTACCACCTGTCCCTTTCCTAGACCATTCATTGTATATTAATTAGCCTGTCATCAGTGCAAAAACAACTGCTTCGCATTGTAGAACACTTAAGAAAATCTTACTTTTTCATGTCCTTTTTAAAAGGGTGACTTATCATAAATACCTCAGTATGTTCAGTTGACAATGAAAACTCTTCAGTCCATCAGAGAGCAGCTTCACTCCTGAATCCTGCAGGTCATTGTTACTGAGGTCCAGATTTCTCAGATGAGAATTTGATGATTGGAGTGCTGAAGACAAACTTTCACAGTGCCGATGAGAGAGACCACATCCAGCGAGTCTATAACGGAGAATGACAGTGCAGGGGTGTCAAATTCAGCTCCTGGAGGGCCACTGCCCTGCAGAGTTTAGCTCCAACCCTGATTAACACACTTGAACCAGCTAATCATGGTCTTCAGAATTAATAGAAACTTCCAGGCAGGTGTTTTGGAGCTGGATGGAGCTACACTTTGCAGGACACGGGCCCTCCAGGACCGGAGTTTGGAGTTTTTTGTATTCTGTACATGGAAATGAAAAGTAGAATTGTGACAATACACAGCCCATGATTCTGCCTTATACACAAAACCAAATGTAAGAATAAATTAAAGACAGAATCATTCTTAAAGACTTAACCCTCCGAGTTTGGGGACTATGCCGACATGTTCAGTTGCATTTTTTACTTGATAATGGCAAAAAGAACTTAAAATGCTCCATCATTTTTGGTCGTATAGATAAAGAGTAAAACTCCACTCAAATCTGTAAAGTGTCTACTTTTATTTGTATACACTCACATGTGTTTTTGGTATCGTGTGTTTTGTTTCTTTCTGCACTATGGACCACTTGGAAGCAGTCAAACTGTTATGCCTTGAGCAGAAGGACTACTTCCTCGAAGGAAAATTTGGAGGAGTTCCTCAGCCTCATGCCAGCAGCATCATTCCCAGACGACTGTCTCTGCAGCTTCCTGCATGCCGGCCTCAACACCGTCAACAGAGTACAGCTGTCTGGGGAAGGCCTTTGAGGGAGATTTGCAAATACGTAGAGTGGGTGTAATCTTGGAGAGGATGTTACCCTGGCCCCAGTGCTTCTACCTGAATCTGTCAGTTCGTTCTGTAAAGTGTCTACTTTTATTTGTATACACTCACAACAACAACAGAATATTGTGCCTTTTGTAAAATAAAGAAAAGAAACTGGTTGTGCTTTCTGCTGTCTCGGTCTCTGTGAACTCTTCTTTGAACTCTGTGAGCTTTCTGAAACACGTCATAAAATGAACCAAAACTCAGCGGATAGTTGACACACAGACATGAGATATATGTCTATAGAAAACATAAAGTGTCTACTTTTAAGTGAAATAAGTCATATCAAAAACAAATATTCTCTGTTAATCCGTATAAAAAAAAGAAAAGTACAGTCTTTCCCGTCTGAACTTATTATCTGTAATGTGGTCACACCCAAGTGCAGCGCAGGCTAATCATACGGTAATCATCCACATGAGCCACTCAAACATGTGAATGGCCACATAACCTTGATAAACAAAGCATTAAGTTTCAACAAGTTCGTCTAGGCTAATTTTTGTTTTTTCAAGAAGACCTGATGTGAAGAATAAGCCTTGTATTTACCTTAGAAGAAGATTGCGATGCGAAGTGCATCTTGATCAAGTGGAGGAGATCGTTTCTGATGAGTAAGTAATTTTATTGTGACATAAACTTGTAAACATTTTAATAGTTGGACTTTTCCCAAACTATAATTCCAGGTTTAATAAATCAAGTGGAACATTTTGAAATATGATTCATTGCATCTATATGTTATACGACATTTTTATGCTCTATATAATATAAAACAATGCACTGTAACATGATGAATGTTAAAAGTTTAAGACTATTTAGACCAATGTTTAGGCTACACTGTGTAATACTCTGTAAGCAAATATATTTGCTCAAAAGTAGATTTTTATAACATGCTTAATAATAATTAGTTTCCCAGATATATATATTGTTTTTGTACTGTATGATAGCACATACAATGCATGTGTGCGATAACTACAAAATATTTTTATGTGTGTGTGTGATTGCAAATGTAATAATATAGTTGCTCCTGATATCAGTCACAATCTCGCACCACATGGACTTTTGTTTTCAGTCAGTACCGTTTTCCCTTAGTTTGTTGTCATGGACGCTCATTAGTTTCAGCTGTGCACTAACCTATCATCTCATTATCACTACTATTTAAGTCCTGTTTTGTTTGAGTTTCATTGTTGGGTTTTGTATGTACTATGGTTGTTGCTTGTTTGCTCGTTGGTGGATTTACCCTGTTCGGATTATTAAAGATGGTCATTTGATCTTCATCCTTGTCATTGTGTGTTTCACAGCCACATTGATACAGTAGACCCAATCTAGTTTAGATAAGCGGCATGTTTGTTGAAGCATTTTTGTTTCATTTTTCATGAATATGTGTTTTTGGTCTCGTGTGTTTTGTTTCTTTCTGCACTATGGACCACTTGGAAGCAGTCAAACTGTTATTCCTTGAGCAGAAGGACTACTTCCTCGAAGGAAAATTTGGAGTTCCTCAGCCTCATGCCAGCAGCATCATTCCCAGACGACTGTCTCTGCAGCTTCCTGCATGCCGGCCTCAACACCGTCAACAGAGTACAGCTGTCTGGGGAAGGCCTTTGAGGGAGATTTGCGAATACGTAGAGTGGGTGTAATCTTGGAGAGGATGTTACCCTGGCCCCAGTGCTTCTACCTGAATCTGTCAGTTCGTTTCCATCTGTAATGGCCCTGCCCAGCCTCCCTCTCCCACCACCTCTCCAAACCACTTTTAATGACTTTGTATGTTTCCTGAGTATCTGTTTGTCCCTGCAATCTCTTCTCCAGTCCCCAGCCAATCCTGCCAACCAGTCATCGTCACCTCCCATCAGTCCCTCAGTTTCTCCTCTCTTTGGTGTGGTGTCTCATCTCAGGCACCCACGGCTCCTCCTCCGGTCACGGGGCGCTCTGTACCACCTCGACCTGGCCCCCCAGCTCCTGCACTGCCACTCCTCCCTCCCTTAATTCCAGTGTGGACCATCGGACATTTTGACTTGCCGGGATCGCTCAGTTCGTAGCCTTCACCTGGTTCAGACCTCGCCACACCTTAGTTGGTGACTTGCGGGCCATGTGCTACTCTCCGGCCCTCCACCCCTTCATCTTCAGCTCACTCCACCCTCCCTCAGGCTCCACCTCCACCCTCGGTCACTCCAGTTCGCCCTCTGCCCTCCGGATCCCCACTTCTATCTTTCTGCAGCTCCGTCACAGCCGCCCAGGTCATCGGCGTCACATCACTTCCTCTGCTCTACGTCTGCACGGTGGGCTCCACCTGACAAGTCATTGTTGCCTGCGCTCGTCTCCATGGCGCTGTTATCACCTCCACCATCATGGCTCCTCCCTCCAGCAACGCTGGTGTGGGGTGCAGTCTTGGCTGTGGTCTGGATTATCTGCCACCTGCCTCTGCTTAAGGCTATCCACTGGTTTTCACCTCCATCATCACCACCCTGGATTTTTTTTGGTTCTGCAATCTACCGGTCGCACAAAGGTGTGTGACTGTTCAAGTCACTGTGTTTAGAGCAGTGTGCTCAATAATGTGCCTTTGACCTTCATTATGTATATTTTGATTCTATTGTGTTGTAAAATAAATTTATAATTATTGTAAAAAAATATTTTAATCTCCTCACATTTTTTCTTACCTGCCTCACCGTCACAGTCACACTGATGGGCCATTAGGGGATGGCCTTTCGTCTCTAAGGTGTGAATTACATCAATAGTCATGGCCATTGTTACTCCCTTGCATACAGTCTTTCTAACACAAAACATCTCGTACAAAATTTAAATCAATATATTGTATTCTGTGAGTAAGTAGGCAGGATGATTTTCATATCTTTTTGTAGCAAAAACTCTAGTCTACCACATCCAGTAGTCCAAAGTCTTGTGAACAAATGTTTAGTTTGTGATTTATGGCCTTATTTCAGTGATTTAAAAAAAAGAAGAAGATATTTTTCACTAATCACACATAAATGTTGTATTCACAAAAATACAAACTTGTACATGCACAGTGATTACATATTATTGTAACCCAGTTTGTGCTGAATACAGTGTAATCAGACTTTAGCCATTAATATGTTTAGAAGAAACTGAAAAAGCCAGCAATGTCAGGGCATGTCAATTTCTCTACAGCCCCCCCCCCCCCAAAAAAAAGAATCAGAATCCAAAGCTGAAAATATAAAATGATGTTAGACACATACAAAAATGGTAGTATCACCGACAACATACTGACATACCCTTAAAGTACTATGTCCCTTCCAACCTAACCTGGGTGTAAGAGAAAGAGATGTTGTTTGAGAGAGCAGCAGGGGTTGCTGAGTCTTCTGGACGAATCCAGGTCTCATTGAACCCCAAGATAAAAAGAGTAGACTGAGAAGCAATGGCCAGAATGAAGTCTGCTTTGTTGACAAATTACAAAAGTTTCTTCTTAGCCAATGGCTATTATTCCAATTACAAATAAGAGCAATGAAAATACAAATTATAATGAAAGTTGAAAAATAGAAATAGCTAGCAAACAAAATAATCCTCCCTAGCAGCAAATAAAAATCTAAACAATAGAAACAAACAAGCAAACACTGGCATGCCACTGCCTTTTCTACTGACTAATCGCTTCTCCTCCCTGATCTCTTGGCAGAGGAGAGTTCAATTTATCAAAGTCCACATCAAAAAAGCTCCATTAATGTAGATTGATGCAATGTCTAAAGGCACTTGTTCATTACAGTCATAAGCAATCAAACATAAAAAACGGACCAAACTCACTAAAAACATAAGAAATAGGATGTCGAGAAACCCACTGCCGGTCACTGCATGGGTATATGCCCAAACAGTATGGGTTGAGAATGCCTTAAATCTACTATTTTGTAAAGGTTTGAGTTTAGAGATTCAACCAGAACTTCTATGACATTGTGAAGGGAGGACTCAGGATCAGATTATTGATCTGACAACCTGATTTGAGCAAGAGGACCCACCAAAACCCATTATCACTAGCCCAGCCACTCCACCTAACACAAACAAACCTGAACTCATGAAAGTTGACTCTCCTGGTCACCCAGCAGCTCTACAATCCTTTCAAGACCTGAAAGCCCGTTTCACCTCTGTTCCCATTCTTCACCATCCAGATCCAGAATGTCTGTTTATCGTTGAAGTGGATGCTTCTAACACTGGCATCAGAGCCATTCTCTCCCAGCGTCACAATACACCTCCTAAGCTCTTCCCATGTCCTTATTTC